GTCTCAGACCTTGTCCCTGTGGTCCATCCTGGTGTCTCAGACCTTGTCTCTGTGGTCCATCCTGGTGTCTCAGACCTTGTCTCTGTGGTCCATCCTGGTGTCTCAGACCTTGTTTCTGTGGTCCATCTTGGTGTCTCAGACCTTGTCTCTGCAGCTGGTGATCAAAGACTCGTCAGATCTTTGATAGTCTCTTAGTTTCTGTCTTTTCCAAACAGCTGGACAAAGTGAGTCCTGCACATCTGGACCAGTCTGGATCCTGACGTTCTGTAGGTTCTGCACTAAAGGAGCCGGGTCAGGAGCTACAGAACGTCAGGCAGGTGTTGGAATCATTGTCAGTCATCTGCAGATCAGCTGGACCAGCACCAACAGGAAGTGATCCAGCTTGGTCTGGGTCTGGAATCACAGTCCAGACCTTTCTAGAATCAAATCAATTTATTCCCCTCAGATCCACAAAGCTCACCGGAAACATTGTTTTTACTCAGAGTTTTATAAAAGGTTAGAGCACAGGAAGGAAGAGTTCATTTTTCAAAATAAAAGACCCTGTGGGAGGGTATTAATGTAGTGTAAAAGAGATTTTTGATCTTTATAACAGGCTGTGTCTCCTTCAGGTTCCTTCACTGTACAAACAGGCTGCCTTCAGGCCTCATGAAAAACAGATCTGAGGTCTCAACGGGACTTTCCTGGTTAAATAACAGGAAATAAATAAAAATAAAATGTTGGAGAAATCCTTCAAGCTCTTGTGGTAAACATGTGGAGCTGATACAAAGCTCCGCCCATTTACACAAAGCTCCTCCCTGGAGCTCAGCCTGCAGCTGAGCCCCTGGCTGTGTCTCAATTCAGGGGCTGGGTCCTCATGAGTGCACATTTGTCGGCTGCATACGTCACTGCCCCGCGCCGAGGACTGTCCCAATTCAAAGGCTCCTCATCATGCGGCCGAGGAATGCGTCCTACTTCCTGTCGAAATCCGAGGATGCATCCATGTATCCTTACCAGCCGAGGATATCCCAGGATTCAATGCAGCAAAATAATCTGAGAAATGAAGACGGTGGTGTTTTTATTTTTTTAACCTGGCGACGCAGTTTGGAAATTCAAGTTTAGCAACTTGGCTGATGAAATTTATGCTGCAATAAGATGTTAAATAAAAGAAAATGTAACTACAAGTTACGAGAATAAAGTATTATAAGAATAAAATCATAACATTATGAGAATAAAGTCATAATATGAGAATAAAATCGTAAATTATGAGATTAAAGTCATACTACAAGAAAAAAGTTTTAATATCCTAGCCCAGGGGTGTCAAACTCCAGTCCTCGAGGGCCGCTATCCTGCATGTTTTAGAGGTTTTCCAGCTCCAACACACCTGATTCAGTGATTGAATTAACTCTTCAAAATGGGCAGAAGCCTGTTAATCACCCAGCGATCAAAATCTGGTGTGTTGGAGCAAGAAAACCTCTAAAACATGCAGGATATCGGCCCTCGAGGACAGGAGTTTGACACCCCTGTCCTAGCCTTTATGTGAAAAAGCATGCAGTCATCACTGCATTAAAATGAGGATGTTGTCAAGTTGTTTTTTATTGTTTATAAATAAATAGTTATCTTTTAGCACCAATTATCAGTAGCAGGACATGGAAACTGTGCAAACGGCTATATGATAAACTGAAGCTGTAATTAATAGATTTATTGACAGATTTAGTTACGTAGTTAATTTGTAAGAAATCATATTAATCTAACAGTGATCCAGGTCATCATGACTACTTTATAAACACAGAGAAACACCTGGCTGTACACAGAAGGTATGAGGGGAAAAATAACTTTATTTAATTCAGCAAACACATAACAAAAAAGAAATAAATAAAAAGAAAAAACAAATAATAATAGAAACAAACAAATAATTAGACAACGTTGTGTCAAAAAAACACGATCACAACATGTTCAAATGAAAAGGAGCAGAAAGAATAAAATCTTACAACATCTGCCCCAATAAAAATATGTATCTAAAAAATACAACATACAAATAATAAAACTCAACTTAATACACAATATAATTTAAAATAACAACTTCACAACAAAAATACAAATATCAACAAAATCTTTGTTCATCTCATTAAAAAAACTTTTAATCGTTCTACTAAATGAATAAATTGTTCCAGCATTCTTCAGGTCACCAAGCACTGACTTTATTCTCATAATATTACAACTTTATTCTCATAATATTACAACTTTATTCTCATAATATTACAACTTTATTCTCTTAATATTACAACTTTATTCACATATTATGACTTTATTCTCATAATAATATAAAAATATGTGTTACGTATCTCCGTTATAGAAACTGGAGCTAAACCCAAATTATTGTTTTCTTTATTTACGTTTACCTTTTTAACTGAATTTATTCTTCAGTAAAAAGACGTGTAAACATGTCCCGAAACATTTTAAGTCCGACATGAAACTGGTCACTATGGTAACGGGGAGCACGTGGTCACACAGACCCACGTGAAGCCGACGTCAAGCGAAGGCTGGACTGTCTCATTTCACAGCAGCCTACCCGGCCCAGCAAGGATGTGGCCTACGTGGCCCAGCTAGGCTGGGTCAGCTCCTGTCCCACAGAGCCCCTCCCCCGAAGCATTGTTGTGAAGACGAGCTGAAGTGGGAGTGTCAGAAATGGTAGGAGGTTGTTAAAGAGACAGAGGCTAATTTCAAGGTGTTTATTTTTGATTTAACATGTTTTTCTACCAACTGAAGGGAGCAGAGTCACTGGATTATGGTTCACAGCTGAACGATGAGCCTGGAGAAGACAAACACAGTTTTAACAACACTGAAAGAGATTTGTTCAGAAAGTTTGAATGTTTCTGAGTGTCCTGCTCCAACGCTGCAGGGACCAACTGTTTCTCTTGTTTTCACTCAGTTCTTGTCTCTTCTGCTCCTCAGACTGTGGAGTTTTTCACTCAAGGAGAAACAAGAAGACTTCCAGTCCAAACGATGGGACGGAGACGGCAGAGTGACGTTTGTCTTCTGGTCTCTTCAGGGATCACATGGACCAGGGTCTGAAAAACCACAGTTTGCTCCAGAAGGACTGAACGGAGCTCGGACTCAGACTAGGACCTCACTTGTTACTTTGTGAGCTTCTGGACTTTCTGTGAAACAGAACTAAGACTCGGTTCTGAGAAGAGACTTCAGGATTCTGGACTTTCTGGTCTTATGGGCAGGTTTCTGGGAACTTTCCTACAAACTGCTCAAACTGAAATATTTTCCTGGAGTCGGACTCTGAAAACAGGAGCTTCTTGGTCCTCGTCAGTGAAGGATGGACCTGCAGGACCTGAGAGGTCCACCAGAGACACTGATGTCCTATAGCCAGACATGTCCTTCCATCACTTTATTTAAGAAGTTTTCTGTATAATCTGGAGCTGTTTGACGTATTTATATATTGTTGTTCTGACTCAGCGTATTTATCTGCTGTCAAGTTCAAACTGATCCGGATTAAAGAACCGTCAGGATGAACTAAAAGCTCTGGTTTTCCTGAAGGAACGCTCATCGCCCACCGGCCCTCCACTGAAAACTAAAACATCTGTTTGACTCGTTTCATTGATTGTTTCACACAAACTGACCCTCAACAAAACATCTGTTCTTAAACAAACAGTTCTTTATGAACATTAAGATTAAAAACTGCTGTTTTTAATCAAATAACCTTTAATGTGATTTATTTCATGTTATAAAATTACTGAAAGTAAGATGATAAATATAAAATAATGTTTGTGTTGTTGAGGTTTGGGAGTTTCTGTAGACATGATTCATTTAAACTTGATAAAAATAACACAATAACTGGTTTAATAAGTCGACACACATCTGTGTGTAAAAGATTCATGTTTGAGGTTTTTATAAAGTCATAAAATGTCTGGATGATTTTGAAATGACGAGAAGCAGCTTTATTATATTTAATGATGAGAAATGAACGTCCACACAGCTACAGAAAAACTACAAACACGTCCACGTTTGTCCTCAGATTGTTTTATACACAGAATATTGAATATTTATTTTTTTAGAACAATATAAAACTATGTGACAGTGTTTTACCTGGCTTTAAATAAAACCTTATTTTTATCAACACCTCTGTTCAAACTGATTTATACAAGATTATAAAAGATCACTTTTGTTAGAGATGATGAAATTATAATTAAATATTCAATAAGTTATATTTGTCTTCAGTTATCGATATTTATTCACACAGAACATAAAATATTTATTTATATGCTTTAACTAAAATATTAATTTGTTGTTCTTTATGGTCCTTCAGTTGTTTTATTTAAAAACTTTCTATTTATTTCCCTAACCGTGAAAAATAGGAAACACTTCACGCAGTGTTCAGGGTGTTTTGTCCACCGCCAGTTGCCGTAGTTTCCCCTCTTGTCCCGGAAATGGTTTTATTTTGAAGTCCGGCCGGAAGTTGTGAGTTCACAGTTCAACAGAAGGTCAAACAGAGTTTTGTTTGTCAGAAACTCGGCGTCATGGCCTCCAGCGGCGGGATTCAGATACCGAGCCGTCTCCCGCTCCTCCTGACCCACGAAGGAGTCCTCCTCCCGGGCTCCACGGTCCGCCTCAGCCTGGACTCTCCCCGGAACATGCAGCTGGTGAGCCAGCGGCTGCTGAAGGGAACGTCCCTGAAGAGCACCATGATCGGAGTGATCCCGAACACCCGAGACCCGGAGCACGACACGGAGGGGCTGCCCCCGTTACACAAGTGAGTCTGACCCGGGTTAAACCTGGTTAAACCTGGGACAAACAGATGTTAACCCGGGTTAAACCTGGGATAAACAGATGTTAACCCGGGTTAAACCTGGGATAAACAGCTGTTAGCCCGGGTTAAACCTGGGATAAACAGATGTTAACTCGGGTTAAACCTGGGATAAACAGATGTTAACCCGGGTTAAACCTGGGATAAACAGCTGTTAGCCCGGGTTAAACCTGGTTAAACCTGGGACAAACAGATGTTAACCCGGGTTAAACCTGGGATAAACAGATGTTAACTCGGGTTAAACCTGGGACAAACAGATGTTAACCCGGGTTAAACCTGGGATAAACAGATGTTAACTAGGGTTCAACCTGGGATAAACAACTGTTAACCTGGGTTAAACCTGGGATAAACAACTGTTAACCTGGGTTAAACCTGGGATAAACAACTGTTAAACTGGGTTAAACCTGGGATAAACAGCTGTTAGCCCGGGTTAAACCTGGGATAAACAGCTGTTAGCCCGGGTTAAACCTGGTTAAACCTGGGATAAACAGCTGTTAACCCAGGTTAAAGGTGGGATAAACAACTGTTAACCTGGGTTAAACCTGGGATAAACAACTGTTAACCTGGGTTAAACCTGGGATAAACAACTGTTAAC